ACACACACAACCACCACTACCCGTGTCTGTTTGATAGTGTTTGTAGATTTCTGACTCATATCTTATCTTTCGTCTTCAATTATATAGAGGATTTTTCTCAAAATCAATGTTTCTTATATTTATTACAAACCCTTGTAAAATATCTATGACCTTTACCTTGGCAAATGCTGCAGCAGTCATCTGGACCCGCCCTTCATCAGAAGCGTAAATCTTGAGGTCATGTCGGAAAGTGCTGTGGAGACGTAGAAAGCCCAAACCCGGTGTCTCAAACTGACCTGTAACAGCGAGGAGCTTTATTGAAATCATCAAATGACCCTATTTTTTAAAACGCATCTACCCAGAATTCATTGTATCAAATTAGAAATTAAGGTTTTCTGCAAAATAATACCCCCATACTTCTTTTTTGAGAAGCACCCGTGAAATTAGTTGAAGCTTAAATAATTTTAAGCATGTTTTATGGCAGTGATAAGTTTCTATATCTAGTAATATAGGCAGTCAGTGGGGGTCGTGGACTGTGGGCTGACTAAGTGGTGAATAAGTCAAAGGTCGTGTGCAGTCATGCCAGTCATTCCCTAGTAAGGGACTATCCAGATCACGTGATCAGAGTGGGGGCGTGTGCAACTTTGAGGGAGATCAGTCAGCTCCAGCAGCCATTTTTAAATTCTCTCAATCTGTATCAATTCAAGCATTTTATCCGGTGATTCTCTCAAATTCTACGTACACGAACTTTACTAATTGTCTGGGATGTATCATGTATGTTTTGCGTCACGAGGGAGTGTCTCGTATGTACATACGATGAACTTTTGAAGAATTAGTCAGGGGAGTGTTTTACCCCTTCCTTCATCATGGCGCCTAAATCAAAGAAACAGAAAACGTCTGGAAGTGCGCTGGATATGACCAACTATCTGAACTGGGGTGTCACCAGATTACGGCATGAACTTTCTGCGATTGGATTAGTTACTTCTACGTCGTTTCCAATCTCTACACTTCGTAAATTGTATGTTGACAATCTACTAACCCGACACGCAAATGAGCGTTCACAGGGTAGTGCGCGTGTCCCGCGATCGAGGATTCCTCGTCCAATACCGCAGTTCGCCATCACTCGTTCTCCAAACGAGATCGAC